GGAAGCAGTCAGGGCAAGACTGGCTTGGAGCACTGGGAGTGCAGAAAGCAAAGCAGTCAGGGCAAGGCTGGCTTGGAGCACTGGGAGTGCAGAAAGCAAAGCAGTCAGGGCAAGGCTGGCTTGGAGCACTGGGAGTGCAGAAAGAAATGCAACAGGCTAGGCAGCAGAGTGTTGCTAACTAATAAGGTTGGTGCAATATTGTGTTTAGTTTAACCCTGAGAGATAGGGAACTAATGTCAGTTAGTGCTCAGACGAGCTAGGTGTTTGTTTATAGGGTTTTCTGTTACTTTTGTTTTTCATTTACTACTGTATCCTGTGTGAACTTACAAATAAAGTGCCTGGAGTATTTGCAATTACAAGGACTGTGCATGTTTTTACCCTAGAGGGCCGTGCTACCTGGTGACAAGGATCACAATATATATAACAATTATATATATTTAATCAGTATCAGTTCTACGTGTAATTTGATATTAATATATATATATATATATAATTACAGGGCCGGACTGGCCCACCGGGATACCGGGAAATTTCCCGGTGGGCCGCGGCACCCGGGGCCGGTCTGACAGCTCCTGTGATCCCGACGGCCGTGTGTGAGCTGTGCGGCCATAGCCCCATGGGAGCAAGGGGGAGCCAGGCGGCCGGCTCACACACGGCCGCCCGGGATCATTTAAAAAAATATATATATATATTTGTGGCGGGGGCGGAGCTTACTGTGCGGCGGGGGCGGGGCTTAGCGTCCGGCGGAGGCGGAGCTTACTGTGCGGCGGGGCCGGCTAATTGCAGCATGGGAAGCAGGAAGGAGTCCCTGCTTCCCCAACAACCAGTCTCCAGGAGCTCCAAGCAGGAGGTAAGAAGGAGGTCAGTGTGTCTGTGTGAGTGTGTGACTGTCTGTGAGTGTGTGACTGTCTGTGTGACTGTGTGTGTGACTGTCTGTGACTGTCTGTGAGTGTGTGACTGTGTGTGTGACTGTGACTGTGACTGTCTGTGTGTGTGTGTGACTGTGTGTGACTGTCTGTGAGTGTGTGACTGTGTGTGTGACTGTGACTGTGTGTGTGACTGTTAGTGTGTGTTTGTGTGTGACTGTCTGTGACTGTCTGTGTGTGCGTGTGACTGTGCGTGTGACTGCCTTTGTGTATGACTGCCTGTGTGTGTGTGACTGTCTGTGTGTGTGTCTGTCTGCCTGTGTATGTTACTGTCTGTGTGTGACTGTGTGTGTGTGTTTGTCTGTACTAAATTTGTGTGTCTGCCAGTAACCTTGTCTGTGTGTGTCATTGAGATTGTCTGTCAATGAGCCTATTTGTGTGCATCAGTAAGATTGTCTGTGTCTGTGTGTGAGTATGCTTTACTGTATAATTTAATTACCCTGAAAGGACTAATATTTTGAATTAGAAGAAGAAATGTATCAATAATATATATATATATATATATATACACATACACACACATATATACACATACATTAAAGGACCACTCTAGGCACCCAGACCACTTCAGCTTAATGAAGTGGTCTGGGTGCCTGGTCCAGCTAGGGTTAACCCATTTTTTCATAAACATAGCAGTTTCAGAGTGCTATGTTTATGAATGGGTTAAGCCTTCCCCTATTTCCTCTAGTGGCTGTCTCATTGACAGCCACTAGAGGCGCTACAGTGAGAGCATGCCAGCGTCCATAGGAAAGCATTTATAATGCTTTCCTATGTGACCGGCTGAATGCACGCGCAGCTCTTGCCGCGAGTGCGCATTCAGCCGACGGGGAGGAGAGAAGGAGGATCGGAGGAGGAGAGCTCACCGCCCAGCGCTGGAAAAAGGTAATTTTTTACCCCTTTCCCCCTTCCAGAGCCGGGCGGGAGGGGGACCCTGAGGGTGGGGGCACCCTCAGGGCACTATAGTGGTCCTTTAATATATAACACCCTACATAGCACAATGACTTATGGGGCTGGCATAGATTTTTTTTCCAGGGCTGCTTCGTATCCCCAGTCCGGCCCTGTATAATTATATATATATATTAATAGTAAAATACACCTAGACAGTGTATGTGTGTGTATGTATATGTGTATATATATACTTAGATCATATATATATTATATATATATGATCTAAGTATATTATTTTTTTTTACACTGATTTTAATTTTATTTTATTTCCAGCCAGCACGGTGACTAACTGTCATTACAGGCAGTTCCCCTGCTGGCAATCCAGCAGCCAGCTAACCCAGCCATGTGATTGTGAGGTCCTCGCAAGGACCTCACTCTCACATGGCGTGGGGGGGGTCGGAGGAGGCAGGATCCGCCACGGGGGACTCCCAGGGATCCCAGATGAGTCTCCCCAACCGCGATCTCCGGCGTGGGATCTCCGGCGTGGGATCGCCGGCGACCGGGTAAGTAACAAAAAAACGGAGGGCGTACTATTACACCCTGCGGCGTTTAGAGCCGCTTAGAATAGAGCGTAATAGTACTCCCGCCGGTTTTAAGAGGTTAAGAAAGGCCTTAAAACCCATCTCTTCAGGAAAGCTTATGGCCTCCCAGAGTAACCTCTACCTCACATACCTGTCTCTTGCTTTCTCCTATAGGGCAGTGCTTTACTCTCTCCTCCAGCTCTGCTTCACTCCCACCTTATTTGCTTGATATTTCCTGTCCTAACGTGTCTTATACCCCACCTCCTATAGACTGTAAGCTCGTCCTCTTCAACCTATTGTTCCTGTAAGTTTTCTTGTAATTGTCCTATTTATAGTTACAAATGGCAATAATAAAAATAATAATAACAGGAACCAACTTAAGATAGGATGGCGTTTAGGAACTCCAGTCCACAGAACAACTTTATTAAGATGAAATTCTTTGGAGGTTTCTGAGGAGAGCCACTCTAATCTTTGAACCCAAGGTATTGCAGACAGCCTCTCCCATGATGCTCAGCCAGCCAAATGGTTTAGACAACTTCCTGTGTAGAGAAACATTTAAAACTTAAAGGACCACTATAGTGCCAGGAAAACATACTCGTTTTCCTGGCACTATAGTGCCCTGAGGGTGCCCCCACCCTCAGAGTCCCCCTCCCGCCCGGCTCTGGAAAGGGGAAAGGGGTTAAAACTTACCTTTTTCCAGCGCTGGGCGGAGAGCTCTCCTCCTCCTCTCCGCCTCTGATCCGCCCCGCCGGCTGAATGCGCACGCGTGGCAAGAGCTGCGTGCGCATTCAGCCGGTCTCATAGGAAAGCATTTACAATGCTTTCCTATGGACGCTGGCGTGCTCTCACTGTGATTTTCACAGTGAGAAGCACGCAAGCGCCTCTAGTGGCTGTCAGTGAGAAGGCCACTAGAGGATTAGGGGGAAGGCTTAACCCATTCATAATTATAGCAGTTTCTCTGAAACTGCTATAATTATGAAAAAATGGGTTAACCGTAGAAGGACCTGGCACCCAGACCACTTCATTAAGCTGAAGTGGTCTGG